TATGATGGTTAATTTAAACACGGACTCAACGACAAGACTTTAAATGCCGTCAATTCCAGGGTTGCCTCTAGGTGAGGTGTTACCGCGTAAATATGTTTATGCATATATGACATAATTATCTTAACTTGGTTACTTTGGTTATTTTGGCGAGTTCGATAACATTCAAAGTTAATAGTTAATAGCTGTAGGCTAGTTTTTTGATCCCTCTCTTTCACCATCTCGGTAGGCATGCGGACTGTCTGGCTGACGGGAGAGGTTGCATTTATATGTGCGCATAACACTAATAGAGGTAAAAATATTAATTTCCAAAAATTTTGACGGAAAATTTTGAACACAGGAATCTCGCGGAATGGAACTTTCGGGATCAGTTTCTGTATAAGATCGAAGTATTAAGATTGGAAAGGAGCATTGCGCGCCCGCACCGACTCGGATCTCGGATTAAGGGCGGCAGGAGCGAATAAAAAGTGGCAAAGGAAAATATATGATAGAAATGTTTCACTTTTGTGAGCTTATAAAAATACTTATGCCCTAAGCAAATTTGAAAAAAATAATTGGCATATTTTGTTGTTATTATGTATCCGCTTTATTCGTTATATGAAAAAAATCAATTTATGGCTGCATGGCATAAAAGGAATACGCTAACATCCGGTTTTTGAAACGCTGGTCAACTAAGAGTTATTAGATATTTAAAAGTAAAAAAGTCATTAGAAGACACATGTAACCATTACGGGTTAACATACAGATCTTTGAATATTTTGCAGTTAGATAATCAACGGTGTATAAGTAAATTAACAGATTGAAGACATCCAATACATTATAGCCCATAAATTTAAAATAACGAGATCTTTTATGACAAAATATATGTAGTTAATTGCATTAGCCACTCTTTTAAATTCATCGATGAATCCATCATAATATGTTTACAAACTCGCACCTGATCTATATTTAAGGTTGCGTTTTCATCAGGATATCCAACTTAAATATATAAATTGCTGTTAAAATTTTTTTTTAGTAATATCAAAAAAACGAAAAAAATAGGTTAATTCTAAATACTATATGAATTTAATGTGTAAAATTACAGGCAATACTGATGGGTATTTTTTTTAAACATAGGAAATACGATTATTTGGTTTCATAAAATTACACCAAATAAAATATTTGTATTTTCTTGGTTTAAAAAAATAAGCATCATTATTGCCTGTAACTTTATATATTAAATCTACATGGTATTTAGAATGAATTTAATGTTTTCGTTTTTCTTTATTACTAACAGAATTTTTTTACAGCGGTTTAAAGCTATACTGGCGGAGGGAGTGCAAACGTCACTTTGAGGTAAGGAATAGAAACGCTGATCCATTACGTACATTTTTACATTCATCATCATCAATGACTCCATCTGATGCCAACAAAATTTATACACAGTTTTCTGAAAATATAATCCCACGTAATGTGTATGCTTATGTCTACAGTAGCTCCTATGTATTAGTCCATGTAGTAAAAAAATTAAGTAAGATATAAATCATTTTGAACATTGGAACTGACATTACTTTTTCATCAGGACTCGTACTCGTAAGTCAATTATAATAATTTTATGATAAATGCTAAGTACTGCTTTTCATTTAGCTGAGTGTCTGTAATTTATATCAGAATAAAACAAATTAATAATCTTAACCCAAGCAACATTCTGACGAAGAACCGACGTTGCTGTTCGCAACTAAAAGTCGGTGTGCGACGTACACAAAACGTCGGGATGACCCATATTTGTACTAATCTGATCAATAAAATATCGGTCGATTCGACGTAGAGGACCGACTTTAGTCGTTGTGATTACCGACCAAATGTTCACCAAATTTTACGTCGGCTTAAGTTGGTTGTCAGCCTATTGCCAACCTTATTTAAAATTTGCCCTCACTCTGACCTACAAAAGTCGGGTGTAGGTAGTGAAACTAAGCAATTTTGTATATTATTCTATTTGTCGTATCTATCTATTTATATAAAATGGATAAGGCGTGTTTATCATTGAGTACGTATTATATACAAAATACTTCGAATAAAATTTTAATAAATCTGGTGGGGTAAAAACTGAAACGAAAGAAATTTTATTGATACATATATATATATATATATATATATATATATATATATATATATATATATATATATATATATATATATATATATATATAAAAAGTAGGTCGAAAAATATAGTGAACCCATAAGAATAATGTTTATTTTAAGAACGAAAGTACTATTTTTATTTTTTTACTTTCAAAAAATATTTTCCGTTTCCAAAGAAAGCGCAATTGAAATATTGTTTAATTAATTTTACGAGTAAATAAAAACTTTTTTGCTTACTTTATTTGAAAAAAAGAGGCAAATTTTGTGTATTTAAAATAATTGTACACATAATCAACATGGCCGCCTCTTATTTCCTTCTGTGGAACCAGAAAATATGGCGAAGGCGGAATAAGTGCAACTATTTTTACTACTAGCGACTACACGGTTAAATAATTTTACCTGCACCAACTTTTAGTAGGCTTTGGTGCAGAAATCTACACTAACACTAACGTTAATTCCAAACAATCACGATAATATCGACCGTCTCTTGCAGTTGGTGTATAAATCTTTACTAAATATCTATCAATACCTGAATTATCGACATTGATTTTGAGGTTATGTTAGACCAAGGACCAAAAGCCTAACACCAACGTCCAACCGACGTTGCTAGACGACTACGTCAGTCAGCAACGTCTAACCAACGTTGGAATGTTACCCAAAAACTACCTAAATCTAATCAACGTTGGATAATAATCTGAGGACACATTCAACGTATTAAGTAGATTTCTGACATCAAACCAATGTTGGTAAATGTGCTAGATGTAAATAGTAGGTTTGCGAGGTTCAAGCTACGTTGCTCCGACGTTGTATCATAACTATAAAATTTAAGACGCTACTTGACTAATATTTGTTATAATTCTGACCTTATAATTAGTAAAAAAAGTAGTCGGTAGTCGGTAAAATGTTATTTGAGATGAATGTAGCTACCTATCAAGTCGGTTACCAACGTTATACAGAAGTAGGTGTATTACCGAAAAATTGATCGGAGCTACTTAAGTTAGTCATTAACGTCTAACCAACGTTGGTTAATAACTGAAAAGGACCAAACCTATTAAGCCACTAACCAACGTCTAACTAACGTTGGCAAGTGTTCCATAACAAACTTGACCTATTCAGTTAGTCACCAACGTCTACCCCAACGTTGGTAGGTTACTCAAAATTTAACCATACCTATTTTAGTCAGTTGTCAACGTCTAACCAACGTTGGTAAGTTATTCAAAGTATAACCATACCTATTTTAGTCAGTTGTCAACGTCTCATCAAGGTTGGATAATGACTTGAAAACATATCAAACCTTATTAAGTCGTTTTCCAACGGCAAATCAACGTTGGTAAACCGTCCAGACTTAAGTAGTAGGTTTGCGAGGTCGGCGCAATATTTGGTTCGACGTCGTATTACAACTACAAAATTTAAGTTATTACTCGACTACTATTTGTAATAATTCTGACGTCAGAATTAGTGAAAAAGTAGTCGGTAGTTGGTAAAATGTTGCTTGGGAATACACCTTTTACAAATATGAAAATTTCATTCCATAATTTTGATTTTCTATATAGGGTATTCATTCAGTGCCTTTCTCGATTTCTTTTCTTCTATTTTCGAATTAGGAAAAACATTTGAAAGTGAGGTAATAGAATGTTGCCAAAAAAAATTTAAATTCTTCTTGAGGCCGTCGCGTATACCATTCATAGACCGGCTTCTGGTTGTTGCCATCTTCAGTACAAAGTAGGTCCATGCATCGCCTACAAGAAGGATCTCAGAATCTAGTTGTAAATTAATCTCACCTCCTTACTGGAATACATTGGTATTTTAATTTTTATTATACCTTTATTAGTCAAGTGCGCTGTATCAGAGGATTTTTCCAATTTATTACATTGCGACTGACACTGGTAGATGGAGTTACCATTAACTCATTTTTACTCTATTATCACGCAGAGACTTAAGCGCGATTTATAGATTGCCGACCGACCGCCCGCCCCTAATCTCCTAACTGATTCCGTTTCCCGTCAGTCCGCTAGCATAAAAGGCAATTTATAAACTCCCGTAGCGTACTTGGGTGCAAGCAGTGTAGTTACGTTCATTATGCAAAAACACTTTTACATAAAAAGAACTTACATTACACATGGTTGTAATTGCGTGCTCCCATTGGTTACCGCAATACGTAACGTATTCAAGTTAATAATGTTTCTACTGGTAGATGGAATACAGTAGGGCATAAGATAATCTATAAATGGTTTAAAAAAATGCTAAGGCTGAACTATTCCACGGACGAGCGGCATATGGGCGGGCGGGCGACAGCATTCTATAAATCGCGCTTTACTATTCTGAGATCATCCTTACTGACGTTGCATGTACCTACTTCACGCTACCGAAGGCAATAACCAGAAACCGCGAATTGTATATGCTTCAAGAAAGATTTCCATTTATTTAGTACAAATCTTTTACTAGTGGGCAATCGTAATTAAAGTTTAATCACTCTTTATGTCATACAAATTTATAAATCAGGAAGTATTATTTAATTTTCAATTAAATAATGCAAGATGATTACGACTTTTGGCATCTTGTATTTAGATATTCCTTTTAGTATTTATTACTACTTGTAATAGTATCTTACATTATAAGACTGTTATATAGGGTTTAACATGTGGGCATGGAAGTTATCCATGTGAGCATATTAAACTCTATAACGATCGAATATTGTACAACGTTTTATGTTATCCTGAAGCTGTTTTCATCCAAAAGAGAGAATAAACAACAGGTAATACAACCTCCTGTATTCCTAAAGATACCACATGGTACCTTGTGTGGGCTACATATTTAGAGACAATGGACACACAACCAATGTTCGAGTATGCTAGGGTTAATTTCTGATTTTGAAAAAATCCTAGCTTCTCAACCGGAGATCGAACCAGGGACTTCAGGGTGAGAGCCAAGTGTCCTTATCACTCGACCACGAAGCCACAGAGAGAATAAACTGATGATATTTTTTAACTCTTATGACAATTATTAGTATAGGGGAAAATCTAAGTGCATTTTTGGAAAGCAACTGTGTTTTCATAGCAACGGGTAATTAATCTTATTAATGTCAGTGAGGTAAATATATCGGTTGTTTTTGACGAACATTAACCTATTAGGCAATTAATTTACTTGAACAAGTTTAACTTACGTAATAGATTTGAGCATAATTGATTAGCTTTCAATTTCTGATTCAAAGACATGTGCCTGAACCAACTTTTAGTTTTAAAAGTGTGTTATGAGCTTCAAGTGCATAGATTACATCAATATACTTATAGTTATGTGCAAAACAAAAAATGAATGCAGTAACATTAATAATAGTTCATAATGAAGAAAACTAAGTCAGTAGCTCATTTAATGAAGAATATTTAACATGCGTCACGAACGCTTGTGCGACTGTTACCTCTCCACATGAAGAGTCAGTAACAATATAGGAATCAACATCCGAAGAAGGCAACTGGGATTGCTGCAATAGCAACCATGGGGGGCCTGTCCACCAGAGTTGATAATCAACAAGTTGCGATGGCAAGAATCCGCGAGATGCACAATCCGTCGGATTGTCCGAGGATTGAATATGATGTCTGCTGCTTGGAGCAACCCGTTCCTGTATGTTTCGCTGCATAAATTTTCCAACGATGGGGAGGAGAATGGTTCCAAGACAGTACAATGGATGAATCAGTCAACGGAAATATCTCAGTAAATAAATAACTAGAATAGACGTTTTTTACCAGACGAAGTAGCTTCGATAAGAGTACTGCACCACACAATTCCAATTGTGGGATTGTTAGCTTTTCTGAGGCTGGCGGGGCTACCTTCAACTTTGCCATGATTAAACGAGAAGTACATACATCATTAAAGATAAACGTAATATATACTACTGCAGTGTAACCGACGAGCGAAGCATCGCAGAAGCCATGAATTTGACATGGAACATTTAAATTTGAACTGAGTTGCCTCTCAATTGTGATGTTTGAGATTTCTGAAATTTGGGATTTAAAGCGTAACCATGAAGTTAAAATCTGTGGAGGTGGCCAATCGTCCCAACCAATTCCTGAACGCCAAAGTAACTGAAGCAAATGTTTTACATAAAATGTGATAGGTTTTAAGAGGCCAATTGGATAAAACATACGAGCTAGCTCTTCCATGTTTTGTGCATGGTCTGTCAAATGGAACACAATGATACGTAAAAATATCAGTAGATGGTATCCATTGAAGACCTAAGACCTTCAGTGTAAGTAATGGATCTGCGTTAAAAGGTAATGGAGATTACTGGACCACTTATGAAGTGGAAATCCCCCAGATTTTAAGCAACTGAATTAGCTCACTTTGCAATTTCAAAGCATGAGGTAATGAATCACAATCAGTGATGATATCATCCACGTATATATCACTCTGCAAAAGCTCCGAGGCTAAAGGAAAGATTATTTGCCCGTCGAGAGCAAGTTGCTGCATAGTTTACAAAGCCAAAAAAGGTGAAGATGTCACACCATAGGTTATAGTCTTCAGCCTATATTCATTCAAGAGGTCATTTGGATTGAGTCGCCAAACGATTCGTTGATAATCCCAATATTCTGGAGCTATTTGTATAGTATTTCCAAAGTCAGTTGAAACACTATAAAAACGCTGACAATGGATTTTATCCATTAAATGAGTAAATCCCTTTGTCGGTCGTTTAAATTCCTTTGTCGGTGTTTTTATAACGTTTCAACTGACTTTGGATATACTATACTTGCCGGTACATCTGTTTAATGTCAGCAATAAAATCAATTGCATGAAGACGAAATCTAATTAAGATATCAACAATCAACAAGAAATATTTACAGTAGGCACAGTCATGCCTTCCTCAGTAGAAGCATTGTCTATTGGTGGTACTGGTGAACTGGTGAAGGATGATGTTTCAAAATGCAACATTGATTGATGAGATTTATTGCAAGTGCGACTTGCTGATCTAGATGGACAATTAAGTATTTGATGTGGTCGCAAACAATTAACACATAACTTCTTATCCTTGACTAGTTTATAGCGATCATCAGAAGATTTCGATTTTAACAAAGGACAGGCGTAGACAAAATAATTTTGGTAGCAAACATAGCAGTTGTTACTAGTCTGAGGTGAAGAATTCGCTACCGGAGAAGAAACTGGCTTTTAACGTGCAATAGATGAACTTGGCTTGCTGGAACTTCTAGAAATTGTCAGTGGTAGCTCTGAGGTAAGAACCCGATGCTGCCTCCATAAAATCACTTAATTTATTAAAGCTGGAAATATCTCCCTTTAAATCATGGATTTTAGTTTCAAATAACCGACGCGTATTTTGATCAACTTTTTCTAATAAGAGATTCAATAATATAAAATCTTCTAATGAGTCATCAATTTTAAGGGTGCGCAATGCGGCTAAATTATCTTCAAAATTGTCACAAAGATTACGAAAACCAGAGGCTGATTTATGCCTGAGTTTGGACAAGGAATGAAGGCGATTCCAATAATGTGTAGCAAGATCACGCTTGTTATCATATTGATCAGACAAAGCCTTATATGCAATAGCATAATATACATCTGTTAAAGGAATAGCTTTGATTAAGTTGAGCGGTTCGCCCGACAAACAATCTAACAAATATTCAAATTTTCAATATTGGCCAAAGTGCCGGAGGAAATAATTCTCGAAATATCGTTTCAACAGAAAAATATGTTTGATCAATTTTTCTAAGAAAATTTTCAATTTCAAGATTTGGTTCAGTGACGTTAGCAACTCGAGTTACAACATCGGAATGTACTTTAATAACTTTGTCATAAATGTTACGAAGTTGTCCATATCGGACCTGGAACATGAAACGAAATCTGGTGTCTGCTTTTGCCAAGACCGCTACGACATAAATTGCGTTTAATTGAGATAAATAATTGTCACGGACAGCATATAGCTCACGGAGCTGTTTAGTTTGTGCAATTTCTCATATACAATTACGAAATTCTACACAGAAATAACAGAAACAAAGAAATTTTAAGAAACCAAATCCTCTTAATACGTAAACAAATGTCAAATCAACAAATGTCAAGATGAATTCTTCTTCCTCTTATTTTGGCAAGCGACACGGTCGTTAACTTTTTTTGCGTGAAGTGAGAGAACGATAATCTACAAGCCGCATAAGTTGCAATAATTATTATCAATAGAATTATTTATACGGATTAATTACACCCGCTCGATGGACCATTAAATGTTTTTGACGAACATTAACGTATTGGGCAATTAATTAAGTGGAGGGCTGGAACGTTTAGCTTTGTAATTACTGCGACGTGCTGCTTAGGTCACTTCCAAATTGCTCACGAACACTGGATGGATGAATATGTGCCTGGCACTAGTATTATCGTTTATATAGAAGTTTCATTATTTATGTTTTGTGAAAAAACTAAGTTTCTTAGCCATAGATTGTTTCTTAGTACTGACTGCATGACACGATCGATGCTGTATCACGAGAGCCAGTCATCGTAATTTAAAGGAGGGAAGCGATGGGATTGGAGGATTTGGTGATTAAGTTATCAATTGTCCAGTACTGCACGGTAACAAAACAAAACTAAAACAGTAATATATTTAAATTTAACCGCAAATTATTGCATCTTATTCTGGCAAACAATAAAAGATTATGTAAACAAACAAATGAATAGCGAGCAGCGAACGTTGGTAAAAGTTTTTACTAGTCTAGCCTATTATGAACATTTTTACCTGTTATCCTGAACAGGATAACATAGAATATTTTATGTTATCCTGAACTGTAAATACTAATAGTCACCCTCTGTTGGTAAAAATGTTCATAACAGGGTAGATTGGTAAAAACTTTTCCGATATATTTTTATTTTTACCGATACGTGACTTGTTACCCGCTGCTATGAAAACACAGTTGCTTTCTAAAAATGCAACTAGATTTTCGCCTATACTAATAATTATCATAAGAATTAACAAAATGCATACTCACCCTTTTGGATGAAAAGAGCTTTAGGATAACGTAAAACAATATTCGAATGTTATAGGGTTTATCATGCTCACATGGATAACAGTTAACTTCCATGCTCGCATGTTAAACCCTATATAACGGTCTTATAATGTAATATACTATTATTATATTATGACACGCGTTTATAACAACTTGTAAATCTCAAAGCACAAACAAGATTTTCCTAATGAGTTAAAAATAGCCAAGTACCCTCTGGTCCTTAAATAAAATATTTTAAGTGAGTTTAAGTTTCATCAAGTTTCATTACTTTTTATATTGGGAAAATTTGTTGCCTTAACAATTATTATTATCTTTTGTTTTGTCTCATAAGCTTTTCATTGATAGAAAGTTTGGCTTCAGTAAAGATAGAAGCCTATCAAAAGCAGTGTAGAGTATTATGATTTTAGGGGCATAGCTTCAAAATTGCTAGATATAACTTTAGACAATAAATTAACATAGCAGACAGATATTGACATGTCCTTTGTTGTATTAAGTGCCGATCCGCTGAAAAACTGTATTAGAGGTGAATACAGACTTCGTTATCAGTACTGTACACAGTAATTCAGTATTGTAAACTGTTAATAAAAAAGGGAGGAAGTGAAGAACAGTTTAAATTTCTTTATTTTATCGTTAAGTAACATCTTGAAATAAACTGTTGTACTCAGTAGCAATTATTAGTATATTCTTGTTATGTGGAATAGCGTGTCATGATTGTACTGTTTTTAACAAATGAAAAATAATCTAGCATGCTATGCCAAAATGATAATGGTGTTTTTGTGTTCTGAAATCTAATGTTCTGTTGTATTATTTCTTTTTGGTGAAACTGTTCAATTCAAAAGTGAAAACTGGTTCTGATATTCGTTTATCGCGGCATTTACGTTTCCATCACATTATCTATAAATAAAATTATATCTGCGTACTCCACAATACTAAACATAACCATTTTTACTTTTGAATGAAAC